CGCGCGCGCGCCGCCGCGGAGCACCTCGCCGGCGCCGCCGCCGAGCCCTTCGCCGGCGCCCCACTCTTCCGGTCCGGCCCGACCCTCCTCCGGCTTCCTCCCCGTCCTCATCTCCGGCGAGCCTAGCCGGCGAACCTCATACCGCGAGCCGCCCCGATCTGGATCTGAGATCTGGAATCTCAGAGGTTGACTTTTCTTCCCTAAACCCTAATTATTTTGCCTCCTTCATTAGTGCATAACTCTGCCATCGTAGCTCCGATTCGCGCGTGTAGCATATCAAAATGTTCGTCTCGACGAGTACATCATTTCAATTCATTGCATCATTTTCATTTGAGCTCATCTTGATGCCCGAAATGTCGTTGGAAGAGGGCTATGTGAGGAATATTTCAGATCTGTTTTAGCAAATGGCCTTTTGTCATTTTTGCCATGATTTATGTGTGCATGCTATGATCCTGAGCTCTACATGTGTTTTGTTATATGCCATGCCATCTTTACAGGGGTGCTTGCCATGTATTTTTGTGATCTTTGTGGTGACTAGCATAAGCATGCAAAGTAGCTTACTCGGTGATGCTGATTTCAGGGACTTAGTTTTTCACTAAGTCATTGTCCTGATATTGTTTTTATGTCATATGTTCATGTTGCTTCCTAGTGATCCGTGCCTCTTTTGAGTATGATCATTAAGGATGTTTTGTTAATATTGTGGTGCTCTATCCATCCATGTCTTTGTTTGCATTTATGAAGCACCCTAGCTTGAGTCAATCGAGCTCTACTTTTGCTATAGAATGTTCCTGGTAGATTGTTAACATGTTTAGCGATTTTGCCAAGCTTGTTGTTGCTCCGTGCATGCTATGTTGTTGTTCTTGCCATGTATGCTATTTGATGGGTGTATGCTTAGTTTGTGATGCAATGCCTCGTAGTGAGTGCATCGAGCTCGTAAACATGCCTACTTGTTAATCTGTTTTGCATGCTCTAGTTTTTCACTAAGTCTGGATCTGTTTATGTTTTTGCTATGTTCGCATGCTTGCAATTGTATTCTCTGATCGCTTTTGGCTCATGGTCACTAAGGGACTTTTGTCATATGATTTGAGTAGCTTCATGCCATGCCTTGCTTTGCCATGATATGTTCCTGTAGCATGTAGTTTACATGCCCTTAAGATTGCTTCCTGAGGATAATTCCTGATATGTTGTTAATTTCACTAAGTCTGAAACCTGTTATTATTTGCATTTTTGCCATGCTTGTTTGAACTTGCTATTGAGTGAATTAGCCATAGCTCAGTGTTCATCTTTTGTCAAACATCTTGAGTGGATCCCTGCCATGTATTTTGTTGCCATGTTTGAGTGTTGTAGCATATTTATCTTGATGCATTTAGTTGGTCACTTGCTATTTATCGCAGACCGGTGCCATATTTGTTTTGCTTGCCATTTCCAAACCGTGCATCCGATTCCGGTGATCCTTATATCGATTTCGACCGAAATCAACTCCTCTTTCCAGTGGCACTCTTGGATTTCCAAGTTGAGGCCAGGTTCAATCATTCCTTTCCAAATCATGCATATGCACCGCATACCGCATACCGCATATCATGTCATGTTCATGTGTTGGTTGTTTACTATGTTGTGTGCTTCTTTCCGGTGTTGCTTCTTCGGGTTGGTCCCGGTAACATCGCGTTTGTGAGGACCCGTTCGACTACGTCCGTTTATCTTCTTCATGGGCTCGTTCTTCTTTCCTTGCGGGATTTCAGGCAAGATGACCATACCCTCGAAATCACTTCTATCTTTGCTTGCTAGATGCTCACTCTTTTGCTATGCCTATGCTGCGATACCTACCACTTGCTTATCATGCCTCCCATATTGTTGAGCCAAGCCTCTAACCCACCTTGTCCTAGCAAACCGTTGTTTGGCTATGTTACCGCTTTGCTCAGCCCCTCTTATAGCGTTGTTAGTTGCAGCTGAAGATTGGAGCTTGTTCCATGTTTGGAACATGGATATTTTGTTGGGATATCACAATATCTCTTATTTAATTAATGCATCTATATACTTGGTAAAGGGTGGAAGGCTCGGCCTTATGCTTGGTGTTTTGTTCCACTCTTGCCGCCCTAGTTTCCGTCATATCGGTGTTATGTTCCCGGATTTTGCGTTCCTTACACGGTTGGATTATAATGCGAACCCCTTGACAGTTCGCTTTGAATAAAACTCCTCCAGCAAGGCCCAACCTTGGTTTTACCATTCGCCACCTAGCCTCTTTTTCCCTTGGGTTAGGCCAGCCCAAGGGTCATCTTTATTTTAACCCCCCCCCCCAGGCCAGTGCTTGTCTAAGTGTTGGTCCAAACTGAGTGATGTCCGGAGCTACCAGGGGGCAACTCTGGGCTGGCCCACCCGACGTCTGGCTCATCCGGTGTGCCCTGAGAACAAGATATGTGCAGCTCCTATCGGGATTTGTCGGCACATCTGGGTGGCTTTGCTGGTCTTGTTTTACCATTGTCGAACTGTCTTGTAATCGGGATGCCGAGTCTGATTGGATTGTCTTGGGAGAAGGAATATCCTTCATTGACCGTGAGAGCTTGTGATGGGCTAAGTTGGGACACCCCTACAGGGATTTAAACTTTCGAAAGCCGTGCCCACGGTTATGGGCAGATGGGAATTTGTTAATGTCCGGTTGTAGAAAACCTGAAACTTAACTTAATTAAAATGCATCAACCGCGTGTGTAATTGTGATGGTCTCTTCTCGGCGGAGTCCAGGAAGTGAACACGGTGTTGGAGTAATGCTTGACGTAGGTTGTTCTAGGATCACTTCTTGATCATAGTTTCTTGATCGTGCTTTGCCTTCTCTTCTCGCTCTCTTTTGCATATATGTTAGCCACCATATATGCTAGTCGCTTGCTGTAGCTCCACCTCATACCTTTTACCCTTCCTATAAGCTTAAATAGTCTTGATCGCGAGGGTGTGAGATTGCTAAGTCCCCGTGACTCACAGATACTTCCAAAACCAGTTTGCAGGTGCCGATGTTACCGAGCAGGTGACGCAACCAAGCTCAAGGAGGAGCTCGATGAAGATCTTGTCCTTTGTGTTGTTCCGTTTCCAGTTGATCAGTAGTGGAGCCCAGTTGGGACGATCGGGGATCTGTGTAGCTTTTGGGGTAGTCTTCTTTTATTTTCGTTCCGTAGTTGGACCTTGATTGTATCTGGTTGATGTAATGCTTATTCATGTATTGTGTGAAGTGGCGATTGTAAGCCAACTATGTACCTTTTCCCTTATATATTACATGGGTTGTGTGAAGATTACCTCACTTGCGACATTGCTTTCAATGCGGTTATGCCTCTAAGTCGTGCTTCGACACGTGGGAGATATAGCCGCATCGAGGGCGTTACAAGTCGAACCAGCTCTGCCCCTATGTACTGACGACCTTGATGTTCCTGTGGAAGTGCTTCAGTCCCATTGGCGCGCGCATCGGGGCTCCGTCATCGAGCAAGTTCAACTACACTGGTTCGGAACGGCAGCTACCGGCATAACCTAGGAAGACAAGGAAGCGCTTCGCGCTCATTTTCCCCACGCGGCGGCTTGGGGCAAGCCGCACGTCAAGAAGAGGGGGATGTCAGCGCCCCTGACAAGGCGGGACCATCCACAGGAGCTCAAGGGGCCAACGATGCACGGGCCAAGCGTCCACGAGTTGCCAACCCACGAGTCAGCGGGCCGGACTAGGTAACCGCGGTCCAACTCCTTCCTCCTACTACTTAACTTGCATCGCTGGGAGAGAACCATCCAGAGGATCAGGCACCCGGCGGCTTGGCTACCTACTACCGTTCCCCATTTCACATGAACCCTAGACACAACACATGCAATCGAGTTGTAACCGCCACCTAAATCATATTCCTGTGAGAATTGTTGCCAAGTAATCGAGAGTCTAGTTCGTGCCTATCAAAGTCAGAGTCATCGAGTCTCGAGCGGACGACGATGACACCTACTCCCTCCGTTCCAAATTACTCGTTGCCGAAATAGAAGTATCTAGAACTAAAATACATATAGATATATCCATACCTGTGACAAGTAATTCGGAACGGAGGGAGTAGATGACTACGACACATAATTCTTCTCAGAGGCGGGTGTCAAGTTTTTGTGTCAGTGCCCATGTAACTTGGCACTGCCGTGGACAATATTGCTCATGTGTTTGTTATGTGGTTTTAGTCCGGTTTTCCAGAGCAAACAGCACAAAAAGATACGAGGACTGATATTTTGGCCACGATGCCTTATTTGGGATTATTTGTCTGAAAACTAAGCTGCCACTACAATTACCAAAACTCTACATGAGCGATCAAATGTCACTGCGGTGAATAGATACAGAAATCGGACCAAAACTTCAGAATTTTTTGCCATCAAAGCTAACAAAACAGGAAAAAGAATTTTTCCAACTCTGAAACAAAAGCGAGTTAACAGAAGACGCCACTGGTTTAATACTAGGCTTCTCTAAGTTACAAAAAAAAAATCTCAAAACCCTACTCAAGATTTCTTTCCTTTTTCCTGCTCCTGCCAATCAAATCCATATATAGAAGAGCTTTACAAAAATTTGTTAGCATCGGCATCCTTCAACGCCAGCAGTTATAGGTCACGATCGACAATTCTTCAGTTTCTCAGGGGAATGGACATTTTCTATCTTTGCCATCAACATCCAAGAGTGAAGGCACAGTTTTGGAGAATGGCCCAATAATTAATATTTGCAGAACTTAATTGTCTTTATTTTCCAAAGAGAAGACTTAGTCAGCCCTTAGTCTTAAGATTTCCTTAGCTGTTCTCCTCCGAAAGTATTCCATGTGATCCTGCAGTTCACAAACTAATGTGCATAAGCATTCATACCATATAATCACCTTAAGATAGACCAGCTTCCGCCATTTTATACTTTAGCCCCAATGTGTATGCATCAATCTAGAATAAGCATCTCCATACAGTCCCAGAAACAAATCCAGTGCTAAATTTTTGGCAGATCAAATTTACTCACCTGACGAAAAGATAAGCCGACTCCTCTGCTGTGGAAATCAATGTACTTGAGCATAAACATACCACAATCCCACCTGAAATAATTGAAGACTCATCAAAATTGATCTTTAAGTTTAAAACATACTTTGTGCACGACCAGCCAACTAAACATGGATTTCAAAGAAAGGACATATACAGATGGTGCATATGTACTACTACCTCCGATCCATAAAAAGTGACGCAGTTTTGAACTAACTCCAGTTCAAAACTAGTTCAAAACCGTGACACTTATTTTGGATCAGAGGGAGTAAATGATACTAATACTCAACAAATTATGGTTACAGGAACTGAAAGCGGATATTACCCATAAATAGTGAGTTTACACATTAAATGATCATTAGTGTAAACAAGACGTACCCATTCTCTTGTAAAGGAATACGATCAATAGATTCTTTGGTCCAAGAACTTATGTCAATCTCTTTATTACTCTTGTCCTTCACTTCATCCACAATATATCTAGCCTGTATATGGAGTAAAGAAGAAACACCATTACATTACTCAATTTATAAGCAAGAATTAGACGGAAATGCCTAATGGAGATAGTATTATTTAGTACTTCTAGCAGATAGAAAGAACCAAGATCAGGTGAATTCTCCCAGAGCATAGCACATGTGCAGAGGCCCATAAACATATGGTTTCCCCCTAATTTAACATTTGACATTTGGAAGAGGTGCACCAAAAGTTTTACTTAAGTTAAACTAAAAAAATGTTATTTATATATTTAACTAACTTTCACGAAAAATAAGCACTCCCAAATTGGAATGGAACCAGGGTGCATTTGATTCATCTACTGCCAGCTGTTCGCCCTTTTCATCTAAAAAATAACTCCCTGCTTTCTTTTTACATCATGTATGACTTTTTCTTTGGCATGCTACTTTTGAACTTCCCATTACGGTGTATTAGTGGAATTAACATATACTTTTTAATGATAAATCTAATGATTCAATTTTATAGCTAGTCTAAAAATTAATAAATCTAAACAGTCAAATTTAGAAAGTTCTCTTTGCAAGGAAATCTTTAAAAAGTTCGACAACAAGGATTCTAGTAAGTAAAAAAAGAATAGAGGCAGTACATAAAAATTCAGTTCTAACGCAGAACTCCCTCCTCCCAACCCTATCCGTCATCCAAAGCCTTCTTCACACCGCTGCCACGGTCCCCATCTTATCGCCCATCCAGCAGTCTCGTCGGCGGCAAGAGGAGTGAGGACCTGTCCACTTCGTTTTTCTTAGTTCTAGTAGGGTTTTTTTTACTAGGTTGGTTTCCTGGTGACATTGGCCGAGTGGTGGCGAGTGGTGATGATGGCGCATTGGAATAAGGTCTTTCCAGCCTCTCCCTACCTCGACGTCATCCAATTTGACGCCGACGAAGGGCCTGTGAGGGTAGGTGTTGCCATATCCATTGGCTCTTCAGATCTTGGCAGTTGGTGCGTCAATCAAGGGAAGCTGTTGGTCGCATCTTGGTGTGGCGACTTCGGCATCTTCTTTCGATTTGTTCGACAAAGGGCCTATGAGGGTAGGTGTTGCCCTATCTCGCTCTCTAAGGATCTTGGCAGTTGGTGTGTCAATCATGAGAAGCTGTTGGTTGGATCTTGGTGTGGCAATTTCGGCATCTTCTTTTGATTTGTCGCCCGGTTTCTCCAACCCTATGGACTCGTGGTGAAGAATTGTAAGCCTGTGCTGCGTGGGGTGACGACCCAACCGATGTTCCTTCAGCGGTTTCTTCGTTTCAAGCGGTGAGTGGCTATTGTGGTCTTCAAAGCCTAGTATGGAGAGGGCGTTTGCAGGTGTCTGTTTCCTTTGTTGTCGGTTCAGTGCAATTTTCAATATCCGGAGGGTGGAGTACTATCGAAGGAAGATGACTAGTATTATTTTCAATGTAGTTTTATTTTACTGGTCATTTTGCGTCCAATTGCCTATCCCAGCTTCTTTGGGACTAAAGGTTTTCTTCTTGTTGTTGTTGTTGTTGTTGTTGTTGTTGTTGTTGTTGTTGTTGCCCTTGTACTAGCTACTGTTACCAATTGTCTTTCCATTGTACTAGCTACTGTTTTCCTTGATAATTATCAGATCTAACATGCCCTTTGGGTGTCTTTTCTGGAAGAAAAAATATGAAAAAAGGAAGTTACCAGCATTTCGTATACACGAAGATCATCGCCGCCAAGAGAATCAAGATATTGTACTGTCTTCGCCTTCATGTTTATAATTGCCAAACACCAATGCACATTTTGATGTACGGGGACAAAGATCTGCAAAGTAAATTCTGAACATAAGAAATAAGCACGTGCAGTAACAATAGAAAATTAAAGAACACAGCATCCACTTTACTTTATCACATTCAATGAGCTCATAACCCAACTTCCTGGAGGTAGTCCATCTTTTTACAGATTTGTAGTCATATCCAGTTTTTCCACAAGCAAGCTGAGCAAGAATTCAGAAAATAAACAGGGCTGAATTAGATGGTAATCAATTTTATCCAAATGAAAATCAAGGCTGAAATGCATGATATCTAGTCTAATTTCCAATGAAAGGTCTCAAAATCAAGTAACAACACAACAAAAGGAACCAAATAAGGCAGACAGAGAACTACTCTCCATTCAAAAATGTGTGTGTCCATGGCATGCATGAAGTGAAACTTTCCTGATTGTGACTACTCAGGAGGGCAATCTAATGTATTCCAAACAGATGCCCCAAGTAAAAAATTCAAATTAGGAAACCCAGGAGGTCAATCATGGTATATTCAAACATCCTAATATCAATGACCAAAGATGTATCTATAATGGTCACACAAAAGTGACATAAGTATAATTTAGCTTAAAAAAATAGATGTTTCCACAGTATATTACGAGGCCGTGAGTCCTTGATAATATTACAAGAATTTGTGGCCAAACAGATACTTTTGAACCACATCTATACTCACATAAAAATCTCAGTTAGTGATGATGGTGTGAGGTGCACCTGCCATCTATGATTTCAGACCATCAGATTTCCATCTAACGCGTGCAAATGCAAGGCATGGCACATTTGCAGAAACATGCCCGCCACTCTGCCCAAATTTTCACGGAACTGCTTGATCTTTCCCGTCCAACCCCAATCCCCATCCCTTCCCAGCTCAAGCCGCCCACCTCCTGACCTCTAGGCCTACGACTCCGTATCCATCAACACCTAGAAGGCTAGAACCGCCGCCGCCGCCGGCCCCTCCACCGGCCACCTGTGTGCCAATGCCCCCTCCATCTAGCCGCCATCCACATCTGCGCCGCCTACAACGCCCCATTCTTCTGCGCCTCCGCCCCTAGCTCGCCCATCCAAAGCTTATCTCCGTCGTCCCGAGCAAGCCACCAAACCTACAAACGAGATGCTCGATTTTTCTGCCCTCCGTATACGAGGGTGCCAAGCTGCCGGATCTGGTGGAAATCACCCCAATCCCAGGGTGAGCTCATATGGCAGCTGGCTCGAGTTAGTCTACAGACCTCCACGGCCACTACACATGAGTTGACCGACACCTAGCCAGGCCGCCACGTATGCGGATGCACAGCTCGTGGATCCGATGGAGCTGGCCCCAATACCAGCATCAGCTCGTCCCGCCGCTGCCCCTAAATCGCCTACAGGCTGCCGCAGGAGTCACTCACGTGGTCGGATTAACAACCTGGTCGTCAACTTCCCTCCAGGTATTCTCTACATCCAGTTACATCAGTGCGTTCTTGCTGAGTTGAGATAGAGCAGTTAATTATTTCTCTCTGAATATGTGCGTATTGAGAAGAAACTACAGAGAGCAGTTTTGTTCTCTGCATTATGTGTATACGGGAGCAGCAACTACCAAAACAGTGGATGATGTGCAGTTAGCAGTTTATTCTTCCTTAAATGCAAGTTAGTGCAAATGTTAAATAATTAGACAGTTCATGATTTGGATTTGCACATTCTTTCCTAGCTAGCTGGTAAGAAATATGATTTATTCGACTAATTGCATCCAGAACTCTTTCTACATAGATGTTATTTCAATGGTCATGGGCTGTGGACGGTGGTTACTACTCATGTCATGGATCGTGGAATCTGACAAATTATGATTTTTGTTTCTAAGTGTTTATTCAAACAATAGATTGTTAAAGTTCAGAAACAGGCAAGTATCCTGTAGCGTGATGGTGTAACATTTGGTATGGTGGTAACTAAAAATTCAGGAGTATTAGACTTTTCATCTTCTAACTTATGTAGGCAGCTGGCTTATGCACAATACTAAGTTGTTCCAAACCCGCCATAAGCATTCTAGCATGAATACCCTCCTAGCAATATCCCCACCTTTTTGTAGGGGAAATCGTTTAAAAACAACCGGATGATTCGCTGGAGGCCACGCGTCGCGGTGGTTCCACGCACGACGCACTGCTTTTCCTCTGGAGCCACTCGTTTCTATCGTTATCTTTTCTCTCACACAGCCAGACCGCCTCGTCTCCTGCCTCGTTCCTTCTCCCACCTCTCTGCCCAACTCCTCCAACCACCGCACTGAGAAGCTGCGCCGGCGCCGCGCGCTGCTGCTGCACCCCTTCGTTTTGCAGCGGGCACCATGCTGCAGACGCCCGCGTTTTGCAGCCGTCCATGGAGGAGCTCTTCAATCCCGTCGCGCAGCTCGCCACCGGCGCTGCAATGGAGCGTGCCTGGGGCTGCAATGAAGCGCCGCCAGAGTCGTTGGAGCTCCGTGCGCGGCTTCAATGGAGCACGGCTGATTTCGTTGGAGCTCCACGCGCGGCTGCAATGTGGCTTCGTCGGGCCGACGTAACCTCGCCGGTGCTTCAATGGAGCTTCGCCGGTCCGACGGCATCTCGCCGGTGCTTCAATGGGGCTTCGCCGGGCCACCGGAACCTCGTCGGTGCTTCAATGGAGCTTCGCCGGGCCGACGGAACCTCGCCGGTGCTTCAATGGAGCTTCGCTAGGCCGACGAACCTCGCCGCTGCTTCAATGGAGCTTCGCTAGGCCGAAAGAAACCTCGCGATTGTTCCAATGGAGCATTCCGGGCCGCCAGAGCATCGTCAGCGTTGCAATGGGGCATTGCCGGGCCGTCAGAGCATCGCCGATGCTTCAAGGGATGGTCGCAGCAGCATAGTTGCTGGTGCTGCAATCCCGGAGCTTGCCAGTGCGTAGCGATCTCGCTGACGTTTTGCTCTGAGATGCGGCGACGCGGCCGCTGCAACCTGAGCGCTGCGCTAGTGCAAGCAAGAGTTGATGCTGCAAGTCAGGTAGCTACGGTTCTCGCGGAGCTATGCGTGTCGTGCCGCGCTGGAGCCTGGAGGCGAGGATTCTGCGTTGCACATGCAGTCGCGACGGAGGAGACACGAGCGTATTGTGATGGCGTGGTTCGGGAAACAAGTGGCCCTAATCAACGCAAATCAACGGCTAGGAAGGCGGCTGATCTTTTCTAAGATCAGCCGGCTGATTCCTAGCAGCCCCCTTTTGTAGGTGCAGAAACTGAAATACTGAGGAAGCACACAGACTTATAAAGCGGGAGTTTTGTTAGACATAAAGAGGAAAGAATATATGTTTTTTGTTGCCCTTCAACATCTAATCTACTTCTGATGAAGAGTAAGAACGTCTCTACATATCAACAACTCCCGCTTCATCTTTGTTAAGCAATGCCTATTTGTGCAATTGACCTCAATACCATGCCTGCCATAACTTTGTGGTCAAATAATTTGTTGGCACCCCAAAATTTAGCAATGATATAGATCGGTTTGGGAATATACTACTATTAGACAAGGATGCCACTTTTATTGCTGAGTTGACATCAAAACTGGACGATGCAAGTCACTGTGTAGTTCTATAAAATGTCTGTCGGCTTTGTTTGATAGGTACATCTCCATCAGTTAGTGTGCATTCCGTATAAAATGCATCGCAAGTGTTGTCAATTGTTTGTTCCTTTGTCTAGGTATACTATGGACCCTCTATAGGCACATTTCCCCCTTTTGCCTAAATATATTACAGAACCTATCAAATGTGCTTTGTGTGGTTAAGATGTGAAGGATGGACTAGCTGGTACGGTCTACCACAGGTGTCATCCTATCCAGCCGTGTGCATCTATCTCCCATGGTAGCAAATTATTTTCGTTGTAGTCTATCTTAGTGCACCAACGGACATTGTGTGTTATCTCTTTTGTGTTTTCTGTGCTTTTTTGTACCATAATTTTCCCAGTGCCAATTATGCATGTGCATACAAGACGGTTTGAACCTGTATATACTCTCTTATGTATTCAAGTTTTATATCAAGTACTTTTAATTACATTTTCCTTTTTTTCCATGTTCGTTCTCTTGGCCGATTGCTGATTGTGATATGTTTGTGGGACTATAATGCACTTAGCAAACTGTTTTAGCAATATTTGGTATTGACTGACACACTTGCAATATTGCAGAATTCTATGCTACAAGGATACAATTAAGTGATTTGGAACGCTAGAATATCAATTTGTTTGAGATGGCATTCACCATCATGTTTACCCATGGGCGGCATGCTACTTCATATAATGCTCACAGACATGGAGAGATGACGATGCATGACATGGAAGGGTGACCGAATAGAAAATGTGCTAGCAGGTTCAGTCAGTAGCCGCCACCCCTACATTGCACAGATTCATGGGGACAAGTATTGGTATTGGCGCATTGTCGTTCTTCTATTATTGATAGTAAAGGTTAGGTTAAAGTGACGTGCTTAATATGTCACTATTTCTAGCAGAGAATGGTGTGTGGGCTGGAGGGTGAAGCACATGTTAAGCGAAGAGGAGCTGAAGACAGAGACTTATTTGGATTATCATTGCAATTACCAAATGTGTGTGTGGAAAGATTTTCTTTGTCACATGCTCTATGCACTACAGGATAGAGCAAGGACTGATAAAGCACAGGAAGCCCTCCTGAAAGGTGAATATGGAGAAGAAACCGTTTGGCTTAGAAGAAGGGGTTTTTAGTTGGAAACCATAGGTTCGACTGTGCTCGACGTGTATTGATCAACAATATAACATCACTTTGATCAATATCTCGGTACATTTTATTATTGTTTTTTAGCAATGTACTCGCTCTTGACTACTCCCTCTGTAACGATCTTATATTTCTTTACAGAGGGAGTACAATTTAAGTAAATAATGTTCCACATCGTCTTTTGTGATTCTGTTGCGTAGCACGGGCATCTTACTAGTAATTTATAAAGTGACAGGCATAAGCAGCATGGAACATACACTAAGTGATACGCTAATGCATGTCCATAAATTGAGCCAGAACCAAGGTACAATATAGCAACCTTCGAGCACTAACCACAGTATCTAAACCGCTCATCAAGCATATTGCAACTAATCCTAAGTCGGCATGTGATTAGAAGAAATGCAAAAACAAACGAATCCATAGAACACAGGAAAGATATGCAAATATTTAATATGACACTCTGCACATTCAATAGGAGAAAACACAAGGTGCATGTATTCTAACCTTCTTATAAAAAAATGTATTGAAGAAATGGCATTTCAAGAACCTTTTTGGTTCTCTCATTCCCCTCTCCTTTAACAATTCAAGGTACAAATTAATGACCTGAAAACAACAGGAATCACTTTCCCCATTACGCATGAAAATATCAGTGTAAAGCTTACATGTTTGCAATCAGTGAAGATGGTTTAGTACATTTAAGATGAATATTTACCTCATCATTTAACCAGCCATGTGGTCTCAAACACCGAATTTTTTCCCTGCTAACCTCAATGTTAGACGGTTCATGCAGCACCAGGACTTTGCTACTGTAAGAGAAAAGGGGCAATGTTATATTTCTGTACAGAGGAAGTATATAGGAAAGCTTCAAACAAGATGCAATTGTCATCAAACGTACCTTGAACCATTACCATACAAACAATCCTGAACTTCCATTTCATCTTCAGCAGTTATAGGTACAAAGAATTGAGACAGATCCTGAAGACAGATCAACACACATAAATCAAAGGGTTAATGGAGAATATAAGGTTGTCGCGACCAAGCAGGTCAATCAGCCACCCATTAAAGAGAAAAGAAACAGAAGAGGACCACTCAGGTTGCCTCTTTTAAAACTTCATGAAGCAAACCAGATTTGACACCTTCAGATTGCGCGCTATTTCGCTATGCCTTCTCCATTTCTTTCGCAAATTCAATGCATGTTTTTCGATTGGGGCAACACTAGTTTTCTCTAAAGCCTAATGCAAATCCAGTTGGCATATCCCTCGTTTATCAATTTGTCCACTCTTGCAACGTGGGTTCCCTTACAGAGCTATCGTCCATGAACGTAATCTTCCTACTCACCCTGCATATACCAACATAAAAAGGCGCCGATAAAACATACCTCCTTAGGCGGCTCAGCCAGCGTCCTCTGCTCCTCAAGCGTCTTCTCCAGAAGAGCCACCCTCCTCTGCTCTTCAAGCGTCTTCTCCAGAAGAGCCACCCTCCTCTGCTCCTCAAGCGTCTTCTCCAGAAGAGCCACCCGGGCGTCGATCTCGCCCAAGCTCTTGTCATTATGTCTCGTCTCCTCGTGGAGATACTTCCAATACGGTTTCACCTTTTCCCGCCGAGGAGGAGGCGGCGCCGCTGCCTTCAAAGCGACCTTCACGGGGTCATCTACTTTCCAATTCCCCGCGACCACCACGCGCCCTGGCTTCACATCGCTATTCTTGGTGAGACACGTGAGATCCGACGGATCCTGCGGCACATCCTTCGACGCACGGACCCAGCCCTTGAGCAGCCTCAGGCCGTTGCCCCATCCCAGCCTGTCGGGGATGCTGCAGATGTAGTCCCACATGTCGAAATCAGCGGATTTGGCTTCCGGCGGGGGCACGAGGAAGCAGTCGGGAACGAGGACGCGCACGCCGCGGCGCTTGCGCTGCTGGCCGCGCCAGTGGTCGTCGAGGCGACCGTCAGCCGGTAGGCAGCGCTTGCGGCAATTAAAGCGGAGTAGTGCGTCCGTGTTCATGGCAGGGACAAGGATGCCAGCGCCATGGAAGGTGGTAGGTCAGCAGCGGGGCATGCTGGAAGCGGAAACCCTAGGTTGGGTTCGTCGGGGGCTAGGGGTTTGAGCCCGAGAAAAATTCACTTTAGCTCACAAAACTTTAGCCGGATGACACTTTGGTACCATTACTTCAAAATACCCGTACCACGGTCCATGTACTTGCGCACAGGGTTCACTTTGGTCCGTATGTACAATTTCGTCTATATTCGCTGACTTGGCCGAGTCAGCGGCCGCCAGCTCGCTTTGACCGCCACATAGTCAATCCTAGGGTGAATACTACTCGATCCGGGGTGATTTTGCAAAAACGCCATGCCCACCCTTCTCTTTCTCTTCTTTGAGCGCGAGGAATCGGTTTGAGCTGCTGAGTGCCCTGCTTGCTGCTGGTTCTTTGATCGTCTGGAGTTTTGAGCTGATTTGGAGGAGGCGGGGGTGAATCGGTGGAGGGATGTCGCGGCGGCTGTCGTTGTCGGCGGGCGAGCCGGTCACGCTGACCGTGTCGCCGACGAGAGGGAAGGGTGCTGGCGGCGAGAGCCCCGGGATGGGGTCATGAGGAGGGGGGTCCGGGCTCACCAGCCCCGTGCCCAGGCACTCCATTTGGCTCCTCCACCGCGACGATGCAGGTCTCGCCGATGCGCCTGAGCGGGGGGAGCCGGTACGCGTCGAGGGACGGTGCCGACGCGAGCATCGAGTTCGTGCACTACACCGTGCACATCCCGCCCACGCCGGACAGGACCACAGCGTCCGCGTCCACGGACGCGCCCGTAGCTGAGGAGGAGGGGGAGGTGCTGCCGGAGAGGAGCTACGTCTCCGGCACCATCTTCACCGGCGGCCTCAACTGCGCGACGCGCGCCCACGTGCTCAGCAACTCCGCCGACGGCGCTTGATACGTCTCCAACGTATCTATAATTTTTGATTGCTCCATGTTATATTGTCTACTGTTTTGGACATTATTGGGCTTTATTATCCACTTTTTATATTATTTTTGGGACTAACCTATTAACCGGAGGCCCAACTCAAAATTGCTGTTTTTTGCCTATTTTAGGGTTTCGAAGAAAAGGAATATCAAACGGAGTCTAAACGGAATGAAACCTTCGGAAACATGATTTTCTCACCGAACATGATCCAGGAGACTTGGACCCTACATCAAGAAACAAAGGAGGAGGCCACGAGGTAGGGTGCGCGCCTACCCCCCAGGCGCGCCCTCCACCCTCGTGCCCCCCTGTTGCTCCACCGATGTACTCATTCCTCCTATATATACCTACGTACCCCCAAACGATCAGATACGGAGCCAAAACCCTAATTCCACCGCCGCAACTTTCTGTATCCACGAGATCCCATCTTGGGGCCTGTTCCGGAGCTCCGTCGGAGGGGGTATCCATCACAGAGGGCTTGTACTTCATCACCATAGCCCCTCCGATGAAGTGTGAGTATTTTACCTCGGACCTACGGGTCCATAGTTATTAGCTAGATGGCTTCTTCTCTCTTTTTGGATCTCAATACAATGTTCTCCCCCTCTCTTGTGGAGATCTATTCGATGTAATCTTTTTTTTGCGGTGTGTTTCTTGAGACCGATGAATTGTGGGTTTATGATCAAGTCTATCTATGAACAATATTTGAATATTCTCTGAATTCTTTTATGTATGATTGGTTATCTTTGCAAGTCTTTTCGAATTATTAGTTTGGTTTGGCCTACTAGATTGATCTTTCTTGCAATGGGAGAAGTGCTTAGCTTTGGGTTCAATCTTGCGGTGTACTTTCCCAGTGACAATAGGGGCAGCAAGGCACGTATTGTATTGTTGCCATCGAGGATAACAAGATGGGGTTTTCATCATATTGCATGAGTTTATCCCTTTACATCATGTCATCTTGCTTAAGGCGTTACTCTGTTTTCATGAACTTAATACTCTAGATGCATGCTGGATAGCGGTCGATGAGTGGAGTAATAGTAGTAGATGCAGGCAGGAATCGGTCTACTTGTCTCGGACGTGATGCCTATATACATGATCATACCTAGATATTCTCATAACTATGCTCAATTCTGTCAATCGCTCAACAGTAATTTGTTCACCCACCGTAAATACCTATGCTCTTGAGAGAAGCCACTAGTGAAACCTATGGCCCCCGGGTCTATCTTCATCATATTAATCTTCCAATACTTAGTAATTTCCTTTGCTTTTTACTTTGATTTTATTTTACTTTGCATCTTTATCATAAAAATACCAAAAATATTATCTTATCATATCTATCAGATCTCACTCTCATAAGTGGCCGTGTAGGGATTGACAACCCCTTATCGCGTTGGTTGCGAAGATTTATTTGTTTTGTGCAGGTGCGAGGGACTCGCGCGTAGCCTCCTACTGGATTGATGCCTTGGTTCTCAAAAACTGAAGGAAATACTTACGCTACTTTACTGCATCATCCCTTCCTCTTCGGGGAAAACCAACGCAGTGCTCAAGAGGTAGCAAGAAGGATTTCGGGCGCCATTGGCGGGGAGTCTACGCAAAAGTCAATATACCAAGTACCCATCACAATCCTTATCTCCCGCATTACATTATTTACCATTTGCCTCTCGTTTTCCTCTCCCCCACTTCACCCTTGCCGTTTTATTCGCCCTCTCTCTCTATCCTCCCTCTCTTTCTCTATTTGCCTCTTTTTGCCCGCTTACTTTTTGTTTGCTTGTGTGTTGGATTGCTTGCTTGTCTCGATGGCTCAAGATAACACTAAATTATGTGACTTTACCAATACCAACAACAATGATTTTATTAGCACTCCGATTGCTCCTCTTACCGATGCTGAATCTTGTGAAATTAATGTTGCCTTGCTGAATCTTGTCATGAAAGATCCGTTTTCCGGCCTTCCTAGTGAAGATGTCGCTACCCATCTAAATAGCTTCGTTGATTTGTGTGATATGCAAAAGAAGAAAGATGTGGATAACTATATTGTTAAATTGAAGCTATTTCATTTTTCGCTTAGAGATCGTGCTAAAGCTTGGTTTTCATCTTTGCCTAAAAATAGTATTGATTCATGGAATAAGTCCAAATATGCTTTTATCTCTAAGTATTTTCCTTCCTCTAAGATCATCTCCCTTAGAAACGATATTATGAATTTTAAGCAACTTGATCATGAACATGTTGCACAAGCTTGGGAGAGGATGAAATTAATGATACATAATTGCCCTACTCATGGTTTGAATTTGTGGATGATTATATAAAAAAATTATGCCGGATTGAATTTTGCTTCTAGAAACCTTTTAGATTCGGCTGCGGGAGGCACTTTTATGGAAATCACTTTAGGAGAAGCTACTAAACTCCTAGATAATATTATGGTTAATTATTCTCAATGGCATACTGAAAGATCTACTAATAAAAAGGTGCATGCGATAGAAGAAAATAATGTTTTGAGTGGAAAGATGGATGAACTTATGAAATTATTTGCTAGTAAAAGTGTTTCTTCTGATCCTAATGATATGCCCTTGTCTACTTTGATTGAGAATAATAATGAATCTATGGATGTGAATTTTGTTGGTAGGAACAATTTTGGTAACAACGCGTATAGAGGAAATTTTAATCCTAGGCCTTATCCTAGTAATCCCTCTAATAATTATGGTAATTCCTACAACAATTCTTATGGAAATTATAATAAGATTCCCTCTGATTTTGAATCTAATATTAAAGAATTTATTACTTCGCAAAAGAATTTCAATGCTTTGATTAAAAAATTTGCTTAAGATTGATGAGTTGGCTAGGAATGTTGATAGAATTTCTCTTGATGTTGATTCTTTGAAACTTAGATCTATTCCATCTAAGCACGATATCAATGAGTCTCTCAAAGCCATGAGAATTTACATTGATGATTGCAAAGAAAGAACCGCTAGGATGCGTGCTAAGAAAGATGCCTTTATAAGAGCGTGTTCTTTTAGTTCATATGAAAATAAAGATGAAGATCTAAAAGTTATTGATGTGTCCCCTATTAAATCTTTGTTTTGCAATATGAATCTTAATAATGATGGGACTGAATATGATCCACCTTTACCTAGAAGGCGTTTCAAGAATTCGGAGTTTTTAGATCTTGATGCTAAAATTGATAAAAGTGGGATCGAAGAAATTAAAACCCTAGATGTTGCTAAACCCACTATTTTGGATTTCAAGAAATTTAATTATGAAAATTGCTCTTTGATTGATTGTATTTCCTTGTTGCAATCCATACTAAATTCTCCTCACGCTTATAGTCAAAATAAAGCGTTCACTAAACATATCGTTGATGCCTTGATGCAATCTTATGAAGAAAAACTTGAATTGGAAGTTTCTATCCCTAGAAAACTTTATGATGAGTGGGAACCAACTATTAAAATTAATATTAAAGAACATGAGTTCTATGCTTTATGTGATTTGGGTGCTAGTGTTTCCACGATTCCAAAGACTGTGTGTGATTTGTTAGGTTTCCGTGATTTTGATGATTGCTCTCTAAACTTGCACCTTGCGGATTCCACTATTAAGAAACCTATGGAAAGAATTAATAATGTTCTTATTGTTGCAAATTGGAATTATGTACCCATATATTTTATTGTTCTTGACATAGATTGCAATCCTTCATATCCTATTATTCTTGATAGACCTTGCCTTAGAACGATTGGTACAATTATTGATATGAAGGAAGGGAATATTATATTCCAATTTCTGTTAAGGAAAGGCATGGAACACTTTCCTAGAAAGAAAATTAAATTACCTTATGAATATATTATGAGAGCCACTTATGGATTGTCTACCAAAGATGGCAATACCTAGATCTATCTTTGGTTTTTATGCCTAGCTAGGGGCATTAAACAATAGCGCTTGTTGGGAGGCAACCCAATTTTATTTTTATTCCTTGTTTTTCTCCTGTTTAGCAATAAATAATTTATCTAGCCTCTGTTTAGGTTGTGTTTTTTTGTGTTTAATTAGTGTCTGTGCCAAGTATAACCGTTG